ATCCATAGATTGGAAGTTGCGGAAGATGACCTTTCCCACAAAACCACCCAAGAGCAAGCCTAGTAGAAAACCCCGAATAGATAAATCCTTATTTAATGGAGCAAGAGCATTTATAAGATTGTCCAAGAGAGGCATACCATTTGTCATTTATGCGGCTCAAACTACCAGGGAGAAGATCTCGACAGCAAGTATACCGGAGCAATATAAGGATTTTAAAGACGTGTTTCAGAAGAAAAATACCGACATGCTACCGGAACACAGACCATATGATTGTGCCATAGACTTACAGGAAGGAGCACAACCGCCTTTTGGCCCAATCTACAATCTATTGCAGATGGAGTTGGCGGAGTTGCGGAAGTACATCAACGAGAATCTAACCAAGAACTTCATCCGTCATTCAAAATCGTCAACTGGAGCACCCATCTTATTTGTGAAGAAGAAAGATGGCTCGTTGCGGATGTGCGTGGACTATCGAGGCTTCAACAAGGTAACAAAGAAGAATCGTTATCCGTTACCCTTGATTTCTGGTCTCTTAGAACAACTTGGACGTGCAAGGATCTTTACAAAAATTGATCTAAGGGGAGCTTACAACCTTGTACGAATCAAGGAAGGAGATGAGTGAAAGATAGCATTCCGTACAAGGTATGGCCATTTTGAATATAATGTCATGCCCTTTGGTCTTACCAATGCTCCAGCGGTCTTTCAACATATGATGAATGACATTTTCCGAGAGTACCTTGACGATTTTATTGTCATCTATTTGGATGATATTTTGATATTCTCCAAAAATGAGGAAGTGTATGAAAAACACGTTCGTTTAGTATTGGAGAAACTACGCGAGCGAGGACTATATGCCAAGTTGGAGAAGTGTTTATTTCACCAAATAGAGATGGAGTTTCTGGGGTTCATTGCGACTACAGAAGGCTTGAAGATGGACCTCAAGAAGGTAGAAGCAATCGTGTCCTGAGAGGTTCCAAAGACGGTTAGAGATGTACAATGCTTTCTTGGTTTTGCCAACTTCTATCAGATCTTTATCAAGAATTACTCTCAAGTTGCTGCTCCTCTCACTCGGTTGACATGCAAGGATAAGCTGGAATGGGGACCTCTAGCAGATAAGGCGTTTCAAAACCTGAAGACCGCATTTACTACGGCTCCAATCTTGATACATCCAAACTTTACAAAGGCCTTCTATTTAGAAACTGATGCTTCGGATTTTGCTTTGAGAGCTGTACTTTCACAAATGGGAGAAGATAAGAAGCTCCATCCGGTTGCATTCTATTCTCGAAAGTTCTCTGCTGCTGAAATCAATTATGAGATCCACGATAAGGAACTTCTTGCTATAGTGGATTCTTTCCAAGAATGGCGTCACTTTCTTGAAGGAGCTGCACATCCAGTGACCATATACACAGATTACAAGAATTTGAAGTATTTCATGTCGGCTCGAGTTCTAAATCGACGTCAAGCTCGATGGAGTATGTTGCTATCTAGGTTGGATTTTATTATCACTTATCGACGAGGAAAGTAGCAAGGACTATCTGATGCCTTATCGAGGAGATCATATCTTGTAGCAAAGGCTGGAGAAGTAGCGTTTGATCAACAATGTACGACATTGTTGAAGCCAGAGCATATTCACGTTTGCGCTACTATTATGCCAATTGATGCTGACTTCCTGAATCAGGTACGTGCCGTAACCATTGAAGATTCAGTAGCCATTGATATTAAGCAGCGTGCCAATGACGACAAGTTCAAGGTGGAGGGAGATCTTTTATACTTTGAAGAGCGGTTATATATCCCAAAAGGACCAGCACGACTCCGAGTTCTTCAATCTCGCCACGATTTTCCAGCTCCGGGACATTTTGGATTCAACAAGACCTTGGAGCTTATTTCTCGAGATTTTTGGTGGCCCCAAATGTGGAAGGATGTGAAAGATTTTGTCCTCTCCTGCAACATCTGTTCAAGATCCAAGAATCCTCGGCATCGCCCTTATAGACTCCTACAGCCATTGCCGATTCCACGTCGACCATGGTCTTCAATTTCCATGGACTTCATCATGGACCTCCCATCATCGAACTCATTTGACAGCATCTTTGTCATGGTAGATCGGCTTACAAAAATGGCACACTTTGTCCTTTGCAAGAAGACATCGTCCAGTGAAGTCACAGCAAGGCTCTTTCTCGATAATGTGTATTGATATCATGGACTACCAGATGATATCGTATCAGATCGAGGAATCCAGTTTGTATCAAAGTTTTGGAGATCTCTCTTTGAGATATTGAAGGTGGATATCAAGCTTTCTTCGGCTTTTCATCCTCAAACTGACGATCAAACGGAACGGCTGAACCAAATCTTGGAACAATACTTACGATGCAGCATCAACTATCAGCAAGACGATTGGACCACATATCTGCCGCTAGCTGAGTTTGCATATAACAACACCCTCCATGCATCGACTCAATACACACCATTCTTTTCCAACTATGGGTATCATCCGAAGCTTGATTTATTGAGTCCATCAACAAATAATAATCCAGCAGCTGAAGGATTTGCGAAACAACTATCAGAGCTTCAAAATACGTTGACTCCTTCAATTACAATCCGCTCAAGAATCCTACAAGGCGTCTGCAGATAGATTTCGGAATCAAGCACATACTTTCAAAATTGGAGATAAAGCATGGCTTCTTCGACGGAATATCAAGACCAAGCAACCATGTGATAAGTTGGACTATCGAAGATTGGGACCATTTATCATCCAAAAGCAAATCAATCCAGTGGCGTACCGTCTGGAATTACCGGCTTCTATGAAGGTACATCCACTCTTTCATGTTTCTTTGTTGGAGCCTTATCGAGAGTCATCTTTTCCTAGAAGAGTGCAATGTCCGCCACCTAGTATTGAGATCGAGAACCACGAGGAATACGAGGTTGAAAAGGTGCTGGATTCTCGGCGAAGGTGGGACAAGTTGGAGTATCTTGTTCATTGGTGCGGCTACGACATTAATGAGCGAACGTGGGAGCCAGCTGAAAATCTCACCAATGCGCCGCAAAAGGTACAGGAGTTTCATCAACAACATCCTCATAAACCTAAGCCGGTTCGACAATAGCTTCTTTTTGAAGGTTGCTCACCCAAGAATATAAGAAAGGGAGAGAGCACCACCAGAATTCGTAGTTGATGTAGTTATTTTCTCCAAGATAAAATAGAATTTTTTCAGTAGCCATAGTTTGGTCTTTTGATATGGATAGCCAAGAGATAGTTACTATGCCAGTTAGATTATCTCAACCAACTAGTTCACGAAGGCGACCCCGAGATGAAGAACCACCTACACCATGACAACGACGGAGGATACCAAGTAACCGATCACTGGTGATTGTATTTAAGTCCGAGCCTGCTTACGATGGTCAATCAGAAGGCATATTTGTAGGACAATTTCACAATGAAGACACGAAAGTTCATGCTTGGTCAGAAGTTGAAGGAGTGGGCCATTACCATTGGCTTCAAGGGCCGATGAACCACTTACCTCGTGAACAACAGTTGGAGTTCATAGCAGACGTTATGCGACAGATCTTCCTTTTCTTGCGTTGATACTGATTGACAACAACATTACTTCTCAGAGACCTCGAAGCTAAAGGAGGGGGTGATGTTAGGAACATAGTCCTTAGAACCTTCTAGAGACAAGTTTCTAGAACCTTCTAGAGACAAGCTTCTAGAACCTTCTAGAAGCAAGTCTCTGGAACCTTCTAAAAGCTTCTTAGTTGGTAGAAGTTGCTTGAGAAGCTTCCTAAATAGGAGTATATATTGGAATCGAGAAGAGTTCTTCAGT